TGAATGAAGAATTGATGGGGAACCAAGAATTGAAATTTTCGTCAATTAGATATTAATTGATGTCAAATTAAATTACATAAAATAAATACACATAAGTTACTATAGACTTTATTTCTCAATAAAATAAAATTCAATTAATCAATTAATTGAATATTAAAGGAATAATGATCAAATAGGTCATCGAACTGCACACGATAATGCAATTATGCCACTGAACTTAAAAAATTAACAATTAGGTCCCTAAACTAACTAATTTCAAACAATTCTTTAAATTTAAAGGTTTCCAACTGGTCAACAGGTCATCATCCCAAATTAATTATTTTTTAAAAAATAAATTTTGAAAATTAATTATTTTTAAATTAAAAAAAAAATTGGAAGAAAACAATTGGATAAAGAGTACTAATTTGAGAAGATGAAATTAATTTTTCTTAGTGTGCTTTTGTTGAGGCTCGAAATTGTCTTCATCTTGTTTAGTTTCTTTTTTGCTGGTTGTGTCTTTACTGCATTTTGTTTTCTTTTTTGCCAGTTGTGTCTTTACTGCATTTTGTTTTCTTTTTTGCCGGTTGTGTCTTTACTGCATTTTGTTTACTGGTGGTAGTTAATGAGATTGACTCGTGCAATAATGTTATGGTATATGATACCATGTGTTTTCCTTGTTGTGTATAGGATCGAAACTTCAATTGTATTATGTATTCTTCATCTTGTAAGCAATTATTGATATATTGAATTCTTAGTTGTTGACCCCGCAAGATTCATATGTAGTTAGTCATATGTTAATTTAATGTAAAATATGAGTATTTGTGGTTGGAAGAGGAGTAGTACCGATTGTTCCAATTGCATAACTTGTTTGCTGGTTAAGAGTAATAACTGTTCAGCACATTTCCTAAACACGATTGCAACAAGGCACCCGCTTCATAAAAGAGCTATTTAAAAAACAATACATTCATTTAATGTTAGCATTAAGTTATTCAAGTATCTTATTCGATAAATATATGTATCTCACTGTAGCAAAAACTACTATTCATGATATGCAATGTATGAAATTGTCTACATAGTAAGTACTTTGGTGTTTTATTTAAAGGCAACATATGCATTCAAAAACTAAACCATACTTTTTTATATGCTTATATACATTGCAGAAATGTTTTCAGAGCAATTTTTTTTTGTTTTCAAAAATATTATGTTTTTCTTGAATATGACGGCAAAAAACTCAACATAGCAGCCATCAAAAACATCTTCAATAATCTTAGTCAATGAGTGAAGAAACTTTGATATTAACTAAGAAATTAACTATCAGAAAAACAGTGTTTAAAAATAAAATAATTTGTAAAGAACGAAGAAACTTTACCAATAACTAGTGCTATTGTGAAGAATCCGATTCAAGATTTGTTGAGTCAAAGAGAGGTGCGAAAAGAGAGGTGATCACTAATTGCCGATATCACAATCACTGGTCATAATAATTTTCAGAGATTAAGAACAAGCATTTAACTAATGACGTACATAATTAAATCCTTCGGATCTATATAAGACAATTTCTTTATACTTATAATAACAGTAATAATAATAACTGCCTAAGCATTTAAAAGATTATCACTTTCTCATCATAATTAAACATTTAAAATACAATGTCTTTCTCATCATAATTTTCTTTTACTACCAGTACCATGAGCCACTGCACCAATTTTAAAAGACAATGCTGCATTTACCCCATAAAGTATTTACTTCATTTATTAGGGGCATGTTTAGGACTAAAAAAGAAGTATACGTGCAGTTGATATTTTAAAGAATCATTAGATAGCTTATTCTAAAAATAGGAAGGCAAAAGGTGAACCATTTATTAGGGACATGTTTAGGCCGGATTAAAAAAGAAGTATATATATATATATATATATATATATATATATATATATATATATATATATAAAGGGATTATTAGATAACTTATTCTAAAAATAGGAAGGCAAAAGGTGAAGAAATCATCATCATAATTTTGTTTTACTTTTGATCCATTAATGCCTATAATTTAACCAAAACCTCATACCTGAATTTTGCGTGGGAGCTTAAACGCATCACATACACCTTGAATTTTGAACTCGTAAAAAGCTCTCAAAACTTGTTCTTCTTCAACTTTAAGGGGTTTTGGACGCTTCTCACCTAATGATTTTTTTTTTCCCTTCAAATAATGTCAATTACTCGTGCACTTCTTTGATTACTTTTGATTAAAAGAGTAAATGATGATGACTCAACGACTCATTAGGTAGGAGGACGGGTTGATTACTGTAATTTGGGGCAAACAAATAATACCCGGAGTATTCGGGTTGTCGAACCACAGAAAGGTGGGGTACTAATCACTAGCTACTAGGTTACTCATATGAAACTAGTCCGAACAAAACTTGAAGGTTGATTGATTGCATAAAATAACAAGCAGAATAAAATAAGTAGCAAGGTTTTGTAGACAATAGAGCAAAGTAGGATTCTTGGGATCACAATGTTTAATCACCTAGTGCCAATTAACGTTTGTAATATTTGATTTGGAATTAAGATTTGTATGGGAATGCAAAGTGGAATCGAATTACTCCCGTAATCTCTATTCCTAGTGAATTTCCACTCCCATGGCCTAAACACCCAATAAGATCAAAGATCAGCATTCAATTATTCCTAATTACTACCATCTCCCGATGAGCAATAATCTAGAATAAACTTCCCCTAATAAGTTCCCCTTTCCCAAGGACCAACCATTAGGTGCAATCGTGTGTGCCCTAATTTATGCCCCAACTCCCATTGGTGACACAAACATGACTGTGAAGCTAGTAATTTAGGCCTTTAACTACCAACAACAACAGATTAAAACAAGATTGCAACACAAATCATAAAACCAAGCATAAATATATTTAGAAATTAACGAACTAGGCACATAGGTTTATAAACAAATTCACCCAAAAATCCTTAAAGAATTTAGCCGAGCATGGCTAAATTAAACATAGCAAATATGAATAAAGGATTACAAATTATCAGAAAAGTACAAGAATTAACCAAGCGATTTTCCCAAATCTCCTTGGCTTCCTCCTTGCTTCCAAAGACAACTTGAGCCTCTTGATTCCTCTCTTTCTTGTCTACAAAGAACTCTAAAAATCTCTCGGTCTGTCATTAGGGTTGAGGAAGGAGGGATTTTATAGTGGGTACAAAGTTGAGATGAAAATAGGAATCTTGTACAAAATTGGACTCAAATTATAATTCCTATATTTTAAATAAAGAATTGAAGTTGGAATTGGAATTAGGAATTGAAGTTGAATTGGGATTTGGAATATGAATTGGAGATTAACAACGCCCTTCACTGTTGGTGATTCCAGCGCCTTAATTTGAAACTTTGCGGCAGTGGACAAAATAATGTCGCGACTTCATCTTCCCCTCGACGCGTCGAGACCAGCAGGTCTCGATCATAAAACATTCTGGAAATTTTCGACGCATCGAGTCCTCTGGGTCCCGAACTTGTCCAAAATTGCTCCAAACTCATCCTTGAACTTCCCTTGCTTATAGAATTAACCTACAATGGTTCAAAAACACTAACAAACACCGTAAAACATTCAAAACAAGTGTGAACCATAATTAAATGATAATAGCAAGGAAAATATGTATTAAATAAGCAAAATTAAAGAACTTAAATACTGAGGTGATTCAAAATAACTATAAAAACAAGCAAAGATGTGATAACATCACTGGTATTCATTATATTGAGGGAAACTACCACCTGCTACTGCAAAGTCTAGATCAGATTTGTGTCTTTGATTTTTTTAGGGAGAAAAATTTGTGTCTTTGTAAATAATCTTATCATCGAAGAAGCAGTGAGTTGCTCATATAGACAAAATTTCATAAATATGAATGAAGAATTTATTTTGGAAAACCAAGAATTGAAATTTACGTCAATTACATAAAATAAATACACATAAGTTATTATAGACTTTATTTCTCAATAAAATAAAATTCAATTAATTGAATATTAAATGGCCTAAAATAAATACCATGTACGCTATATAACATATATAATCTTATAAGTTTTGATTTGCTAGCCGTCGTAGAGTGCAGAGTTCAAATCCTATTATAAATGGAGTATGGATTTTGGCCTTGTTGCATTGTAGGCATGCATTAGTGTAAAAAAAAAAAAAAGAGAGAGAGAGAGAAATAATTGATAATTTAACCAATTAATAATAAATAGACAGGTAAAATGGGACAGATGAAGTATATAAAAAGTATTCAATAAAGTTGTAATACGTCATGTAGTGATTTCTATATAGGTCTATTGCATTACGTTTTCTTTAAATTAAAATTTCAAAGTCTAAAAGGGAAATTTGCAAATAAAATTCAAAATTATATATATATATATATATATATATATATATATATATATATATAAAAGATAGAATTACCAAAATTGCAAATTATTTTTTTGAAAGCCAACGATGTTGGTATATTAAAGGGGGGAATTGGCAGATCAGAAACTGACCACGTACACCTGCAATGCAAAAGAGCATGAACACAAAATATGCATGCTATCCTCCTCATACAATCCACAAGCCGGACACAAAGCAGAAACCTCCACGCACCCTTCTGTATAAGTGCAGTTGTCGTGGCCGGGTAAGATGGAGGAAATAGCTCTCCACTCACTCAGTGAGGGTCCATAAGGAATTCCAAACTTCAATTCATTGGGAGGGGTACAATGGTGATGACACACAATCTCCTAGCTATAACCACTTTTAATTTAACAGTATAGTAACCCCTAATATCATCATGCCAAACGGGTCTGCATTATTAGGTTAGCGTCCGTCTGGTCAAAATAGAGCTGAATTAATCAAATTCATGTCCCAACTTCTTGTCACAGGGTCACCAAAATTGCAAATTATTTAAAAGTATATTAATATTTTTTTTTTCCATTTCTGTTGTTCTTTATCGATCTCCCTCCCACTATAAATACAAATGCATTCTCCTATTCATTCATAGTAACACAGAAATAGAAATATCTACAAGAATGGCTTCTAAAGCATTGACATTATTTTTCTTCATTATTTGTCTCATTCAATATTGTAAGTTTTTTTCTTCTTCTTCTTCGTATTTTCCATTTTTCCTTGTTATTCACAAATTATTACTTCCCAACAAAAAAGTTATCTTATGGATTTATTTTAGTTTATGTTTGCTTCAGTAATCATATTCTCTATTTACAAAAATGTACAAACAAACACATTCTCTACTTTTCTTTATATTTTTTTTATTTGTTCACTCCCTATTTCTTGTAAACGTATTCTCTGCTTTTCTTTATTCAAATTTTTAATTAATTTTTCACTATTTATATTTTTGTTGGAAAAATATACAAGTAAATATTGTATTATTTACTTTTCTTTTTCATTGCTTGTATATGTAGGTGGTTTGTTTGAGGCTGAGGCAAGAAATGTGGTACATGTGTATTGCTCCTCCAATGAAGACTGTCAAAATATTTGTCCTTTTCCAGTCGCGAATGACTTTTGCGACACAAGAACTCGCCTATGTGTTTGTCATCTAAATGCTAGGCTAAAAAAATCAAATGGTGAATAAACCATTTTCTTAGATGAAATAGGAGCCTATATCTTCTTATAATTTTAATAAGAGCGTGGTTACACTTTCATTGTATCTCCAAAGCTTTTACCTGTTTATCCCGTTGCTTTGATTAATGATGGATAAGAAATTTTTAGGAAAGTGAACCTAGTTCATGCCTTGAAAGTGTTATTGAGTTTTTATCATCTTAATCCTTGTTCTTGTCATATCAAAATATTCAACAAATATATGGCATATTTTTCACATTTGGCCCTTAATTATTATTATTTGATGTAAGTAGTATTAGTACAGTTAATATTATAGAGTTAATAGTATATGTGGTGTAAACTTATTCACCACAGCCTTAGCCTATTGTATAAGAACCTCCTAGTTGTTGTATATCTTGTAAACTCTATCTGTTGGTTATTGAATCGATAACTGAATTCCCTAAACTCATCTGGTATCAGTTAGCCACTTTTTTTCTCTCTCTCACCTTTTCACCGTCGACAATGTTGACCTCCGGCTCCGAGAGAACCCTCACGGCAACCACCATACCAACGCCGGCTACCCCTGCCTCCCTCAATGCCGCAGACCACTTCATCTCACTAAAGCTAACCTCCCGCAACTACCTCTTCTGGAGAACCCAACTAGTGTCATTCCTCCGAGGCCAAGGATTGATCGGCTACGTTGATGGCGCTACGCCATGTCCGCCGCCGATCCTTCAACCCACCACCGATGATGCCTCCGATGAAGTTGCCTCATCAAACTGTTCCAAATCTCCTCTAAGAATCAGCTAGCAGACACTTTCACCAAGGCTTATTGTCCTGGCTCTTTTCATAATTACATTTCCAAGCTTGGATTATTGAATTTGTACAATCCAGCTTGAAGGAGGCTTTAAGGAATGTAAGATGCTAAGATGCTGCCACTTGTCATGATCCTAGGTCTCTTGGTAGTTATTTTCTGTTATTAGCTTTCCCTCCCTTTTCATTTTGTAAATAAGCAGCTCACTGTTTTGCATATTCAACTCAATGAAAAAGTTCTCCGTGCTTCATTACCTCCCCTCTCCGTTTCAATTGCAACATAGTATCAGAGCAGAGAAATTGAGAGCTCTCTTACACTGAAAATCGATGGCTTCGATGAGTGCATGGCCTCCGATCGAGAATCGCACAACGCCGGAGCACAATACAACAGGGATTCCGACTGCCGGAAACACTGTTCCTCTTCCCTCTCCTACGCTGGCAATTGGATCCATTGCTAATGAGGTAACATTCGATCCACAGGCTCCTTCGAACCCCTATTATTTGCATGTAAGAATCCGGCCCTAGAGTTAGTTTCCTACCCCATAGATGGTACAACTATCATCCATGGGCCAGACCCATGACTATGGCCTTATCTTGCAAGAATAAACTGGCATTTGTAAATGGATCTATCACAAAACCTACTGAGAACAATCTGGAAAGGTATTTAGCTTGGGAGAGATGCAACAACATAGTTGGATCTTGGATTGTGCGAACCTTGTCCCCTTCCATTGGTAGAAGTGTATTGTGGATAGATACTGCTTATGGAATATGGAATGACTTGAAGAGAAGATTCAGTAAACAAGATTTGTTCCGAATTGCTGATATTAAGTGTGAAATATATCAAACCAAACAAACTGACAGTTCTTTAATATAGAAATTATGGATCCAATTCCGTGTGCATCATGCATAACATAATTTGCCCCTAGAAATATGATGGGCCATGGGACTAAATCAAGGTCCACGGCAAATTATATCGTGCACCAGGGCGCACAATGCATTGTGCGTTCTGGCCTAAAACGACGTCGTTTTGTATCCTTTTTTTTTTTTTTTGAAAATTTCGTTATTTTCCGTTTCTGCCGTTAACTTCTAAAAAAAAATTATTATTTCAAATGTACATAATTGTATAATAGAATACACATAAATTCCTAACATAATACATAATACACATAAACTCTTAACATAATACACATAAACTCTTAACATAATACACATAAAATGGTGTTCGTCGCGTCAACTCCCCATACAATTTATAAAAACGATGTCGTTTTGGGTGAGGCGGGACACACAATGCATTGTGCGCCCTGGTGCACGATATAACGATTGAAGGTCCACTAGTCGTTATATCGTGGACCGCGGTCAAAACGGCGCCGTTACACTTAACGGATCGCGCATATTTGGTGTATTAATTATCAACTGACACTACAGTGTATCTAAACCGACACTGCCTCACGTATTATTTTATATATTATCAACTGAAACTGCAATTGAATTGAAGTGAAATGTAGTTGTGTTGAAATGAAACTACAGTGTATCTAAACTGACACTGTCTCACGTATTATTTTTATATTATCAACTGAAACTGCAATTGAATTGAAATGAAACTGTAGGTGTATTGAAATGAACTGCAGTGTATATATAAAATGAAACTGAATAACATTTCACATATTTGAGTGTATATTGTGCTATGAAGCTGTAGTTATATCGAAATGATCATTTAGTTGTGTTTTAATGAACTATGGTGTATATAAAATAAAATTAAATAGCATTTTCACATATTTGAGTGTTATAATATCAAAGAAACTGTAGTTATATCGAAATGAAATTACAGTGTATACAAAATGAAACTGAATAATAGAATTTTGTGGAATGGCGCGGAACAGTGCAAAACAGATGGCGTATCTGTTCATATACTTTCTCAACCTACTGAAACACAAACAGCTATAACGCCTCCACTGAGCTCGAACTTACAACCTTCCAAATGGAAGTCCAACCACTGGTTATCATTTGGTATCAGACGACCAGAGGTTCCTATCGTCAATACGAATGAAACCAATCCCACCACTGCCCTGCCCGGTGATTCCTCTAATGGAGCGACTCAGGTGGCGGTACCCTCCGAGCGTCGAACCCCCACCATCTTACAACAGGCACATCATTATGTGTCTATCAACCTGACAACCACGAACTATCTGTTCTGGAAGGCGCAGCTTGTCCCGCAACAGGCACATCATTATGTGTCTATCAACCTGACAACCACGAACTATCTGTTCTGGAAGGCGCAGCTTGTCCCGTTTCTACGTGGACAGAATTTATATGGGTTTGTCGATGGCACACATCCCTGCCCGCCGGAGTTCCTTCCATCGCCGACGACCTCCACCTTTGTTCCGGTGATCAACCCGCTCCATACAGACTGTGTCCAACAAGACCAGTCGATACTAAGTATATCAACATAATCTGGAAATAAGTAAAAAAAAAATTGAATTCTTCTGTAGAAAAAAATGACAAAAAGAGAAAGTTAGATGAAAAAATAACATGTCAATATTTTGTTTCTATTTTATTTTTCCATGCAAGCAAATTAGATGAGTTACTTGTTAGTAACTTGCTACAAATGCTAGATGAAAAATAATTGGTAGTATAATAGCCTAGATGGACCATATTTTAATTCATGGTACTAGATGGACAATTAATATTAGTACATCGGCCTATTTGACCCTTTTGTCTTTTTTTTTTTTTTTTTTTTTTTTTTTGTTTTTGTTTTTGTTTTTAATATATCTTACTTAAAAGGCTTTTTTTTTTTTTTTTTTTTTTTTTTTTTTTTTTTTTTAATACTGATCCATATGTTAACTTGCTCATTATGGTAATCTATATAGATAATTACTATATACTATTTACCATCTAAAATTTAAATAACTGTGGTAATTACCAACCGTATTTAACATCTAAAATTATTATGGCAATTAAACATAGAAAATATCTTCTTATGATGATTTTTTTTTTTACTTCAAATAATATCAAATATCCGTGCACTTCTTTTGATTACTTTTAAATAAAAGAGTAAATGATGGTGACTCAATAACTCATTAGGTAGGACGACTAGTATTCATTATATTGAGGAAAACTACCACACTACTGCAAAGTCTAGATTTGTGTCTTTGATTTTTTAAGGAAGAAATATTTGTCTTTAATAATAATTTATCATCGAAGAATCAGTGAGTTTCTCATATGGACAAAATTTCCTAAATATGAATGATGAATTGATTGGAAAACCGGCCAAGAATTGAAATTTTCGTCAATTTACATAAAATAAATACACATAAGTTACTATAGACTTTATTTCTCAATAAAATAAAATTCAATTAATTGAATATTAAATGGCCTAAAATAAATACCATGTATGCTATATAACATATATAATTTTATAAGTTTTAGTTTGCTAGCTGCTGTAAAGTGCAGAGTTCAAATCCTATTAAGGATGAAGTATGGATTTTGGTGTTGTTGTAGGGATTAATTAGTGTACAAAAAGTAGATCAGAGTGAGAGTTCAAATCCTACTAATGATGGAGTATGGATTTTGGCCTTGTTGTAGGCATTAATTAGTGTACAAAAAAGAAAGACTTAATAATTTAACCAATTAATAATAAATAAGCAGGTAAAATAGGACAAATGAAGTATATAAAAAGTATTCAATAAAGTAATAATACACCATGTAGTGATTTCTATATAGGTCTCTTGCATTACGTTTTCTTTGAATTAATAAATTTCAAAGTCTAAATGGAAAATTTGCAAATAAAATTCAAAATTTTATTTATATATATAAAGATATTATTACCAAAATTGCAAATTATTTAAAAGTATATTAATATATTTTTTTTTTCCATTTCTGTTGTTCTGTATCGATCTCCCTCCCACTATAAATACAAATGCATTCTCTGAATCCTATTCATTCATAGTAACATAGAAATATCTACAAGAATGGCTTCTAAAGCATTGACATTTCTCTTCATTATTTGTCTCATTCAATATTGTAAGTTTTGTTTTTCTTTTTTTTTTTTTTTTTCTTTCTATTCTCCATTTTTCCTTATTATTCACTAATTATTAATTACTTCTCAACAAAAAAGTTACCGTATGGATTTATTTGAATTTTATGTTTACTTCAATAACCATATTCTCTATTTACAAAAATGTGCAGACGGCAGATAAACACATTCTCTACTTTATATATATATATATATACATACACACACACACACACACACACACACACACACACATATATATATATATATATATATA